AGGGGGGGGGTGTGGGAGAAAGAGGGAGAGATGTGACAGAGAGGGGGACAGACAAACAAACAGACAGACAGACAGACAGACAGAGCACTTATTTAAAAACTTACAAGCAATACCAAAAACTGGTTAGCTTTGATTAAACCTGATCAGTTTGTAAAAACGCCAATACTTAAGCTATGGTGATTGCATATTTACATTGTTACAGATCAGTCACTACAAATCATAATGTAATTTATTTTTCGATAATTGCATTTTGCTTTGGAAAATCGCTTGTCTTTATTGATAATGTTGGTGATTTCTCTGTAGTTTTCATTAAACGTTTTTGTGAAAACAAATGTTGTAGTCTTTGTTTGTTCCTTAATGTTATTTCTATATTCTTGTTGTTGTGTTTGATGTGTTAACTATGTTGAACAGTGCACTTCTTGCCGTGGTATCGGGCCTCAAGAAAGTAGTGCAACAGTGATACATAGTGCAACAGTGATACATAGTGCAACAGTGATACATAGTGCAACAGTGATACATAGTGCAACAGTGATACATAGTGCAACAGTGATACATGTAAAGCTCGTACAACGCACAAACATCTCAGGCTATTTTGAATAAATTTTAATTTCATTCACTTTGCGCCTTAAAATTTTAAATACAATACGACAATCGTTGTGTGTCTTTCGAGCAATATTGGGTTTTCTTCAAGGTTATAGGTTGTCGTAAAAAGGTTAAGCTTTTGTGCACGCCCATTTGAGGTTGAAAATAGATGTATATAATTGCACGGTTCTGGAACTTTTGCTGTATTTTGTTTGTCGTGTGTGAACAGAAAAAATCAGGTCTTCTTTGTTTAACAAAGCCGCCCTGATCTAAAAGAACAGCAGAGCCAAAAGGTTATCTTGGCCTATCTAAAACCTTTTTGTGAATGATAATTTTTTTTTTATGAAACAGGTGCATTTTCATGTCGTCACTTTTTCCAAAAATGAATTTGTAAAAAGGATTTTCATTCTTTTTTTCTTTTTCCTTCATCTTTATAGCTTCTTTCTTTCACAGAGTTTAATTACTTTTTCCGAAAAAAAACACTAATTAAATTAGCATTTGTTGGTTCCCAGTTATAGGCTACTTCCCTGGTTTTGATACGTTTATCTAAAAAAAATAGCTGTGAAAAGGCTCTACGATACAAACATATGCTAAAATCTTGAAATTTGTTGGACCCCCATCAACTAGTATTCCAATTGACTTCAAAGACGCAATGCTGTCTCGTTCAGCGTCACCCCACATCACACTTTAGCGGCGCAAAAAAAAAAAATCAAGCAAGCTAACTTAACCCTATCCGTACGTCGTGTTTTACTCTCGCATCGATCCATGTGACGTGGGGAACTCTGTGCCACCACTTTCCAAAGAGGAAATTTACTCTTTAACCTTATCCGTACGCTTTGCATAGCAGTCTGTCAACATGGTTTTTTTTAGAAATACTGAAAGTTTCAAAGAGATCTTCGTACTAGAAGTATTCTAAAATATGAAGAATACAACCCCAGGGGTATAAAATGGCTCCAGGGCGTACGGATAGGCTTAAATGATCTTCCTCACGTCCATGTGCCATGAGCGGGGCGAGGATACCTGGGGGTGTCATCTCTGACTCAGAGGTTGACGTGTAATGACCCTCCATCTATCACGGTCGCGAGCTGCCGTTGCACATTCAGCTATATCCAGGACAGTTCGTGTTCTTATGTTGTCTATCCATTTTATTCTTTGTCTTCCCCTAGCTCTCCTCCCTGCATCTTTCCTTCAAGTTCAAACACCTCTTTTATAATTGTCTCGTGCCGTTTTAAGTGGCCAAAGTACTTTTTTTTAACATTTTATTTTATTCAGCAGGGTTTGTCTTATGAGAAGAATCTGACATACCCCATTGTTCGTCTTTTTTGTTTTCCAACTTATTCTGGCCATCTACCGTAGCACCACTTCTCAAACGGATAGCTCCACCATAATCACTCCTGCGTCTTCTATTATCCAATCGCAATTGAAAAATTGTGAAATGGTATAGGTTTATTGCCCCTTTCAACAATATTAGGTTATTTAAGAGGCGGGACCTTTGAGTTTAACGTCCATCTCAGAAAAAAACCGAGCCAAAAGAGAAATTCTTGTATAAAGTGCCTTTCCCAGGGAGACAACGTCAGGCCGAGCTGAAGCTCGAACCCCTGAACCCGCAAGATCACGATTATGAGTCCGGCAACCTAACCACATGGCTACCGACTCCACTCAATCGCAGTTGATTCATGTTATATTCTAGGTAGGCCTGCGGCTCTAACAACGTTCAACTATAACTCTGACCCCTAAATCTGTTATCTTTCACAAAATGTAACCCTACATTAGCTTTTCGAGATCGGGCATTGATAGCGCAAAGGTGTTAATTAGAATATTCGATCCGTGTCCAGTTAGTAGTTTGCGAAGCCATACCTATTTTATCATGTACCATGTGTTCTTTTATTTCCACCCCTTTGTGATTTCCATTTTTAATGTCTGTATATAATAAGAATTAGGCTTCATATTTAGAGTCATGAATGTGTTATATTTATATTGAATATCCCTCCAATTTAGTATCCGGTGTTCGTACTTATGCTCTTTTGTCGGAATATGAGCTGGCATAAGGTAACTTTCTGACAAACTCTGTAGGAACTTTTAC